CATTGACGATCTCTAGTATGTGTGTGGTGAACTCATTCATATTTTCCAGAGGCATGATCTTAAATGCCACCAAGCTCTTCTTATTCTTTCAGAGGAAAAAAAAACAACCACAAAACAAAGGAAACAAATTACATCACAGCAACAGGAAGATGCAAAACAACCAACCCAGCCATTCCCTCCAGAAATGGGACAGTGGTGAAATGAGAGCTTCTCTGCACGCAGCTACTCCACAATGTTCTGACCTATGTCTTGTGCTGGTTTTGGCTGGGATACAGTAGCATGGACTGGTTTTGAACTTGTGCTGGAAACGGTAACACAGGGATGTTTTAGTCATTGCTGAGCAACACTTGCAGAGCCAAGGGCTCTCCTGCTTCTCACACTGCCCCAGCAGTGTTAGGCTGGGGGGTGACACAGCTGGGACCCCACTGCCCAAGGGATATCCCAGACCATACGGTGTCATGCTCAGTATATAAAGCTGGGGAAAGGAGGAGGAAGAGGGGATGTTCAGACTGATGGCCTTTGTCTGCCCCAGTCACAGTCCCACGTGAAGAGCCCAGCTCTCCTGGAGATGCTGCACGCCTGCCTGCCCATGGGAAGTGTGCAATGGATTCCTTGGTTTGCTTTACTTATTAAACTGCCCCCATCTGAACTTGGTTATCTCACTTTGACCCTTCTGATTCTCCCCCATCCCACCAGGAGTGAGCGAGCAGTGGCAGGGGGAGGAGGAGGAGCTCAGGTGCCCTCCAGGGTTAAACTACAACATGTTTTCAGATGTGATTTTGTAAAGCAATGGAGATGTAGAGTCAGCTGGAGACAGGGTCTAAACAGCTGAACTTTCCTTTAATGCATACACCATTACTTGAATATTTAGTTATGAGGCAACCACATCACACAATGTGCTACAACAAGTGTCCCCATGAACCAGAACCTGGTCTAAGCTCAACAGAACAAACATCCCAGAATCTGGTGGCCAGATTCTCTCTGCTGAAAACAACACACTGAGGATGAGGGGCATTTTAAATGAGTCCTCATTTTAAATAGTCCTCTGTATTCAGGACAGTTAAGAGTGTTATTAAATACAGCCCTGGCAGAGACACTCAAGGATTTGTCCAGAGGAAAGGATGAGCAGAGACACTCTAAAGGAGCCCACTGACACTGAGCCACATCACTAATCCTCCGTGGCCTGGACTCAGGCACAGGTGACAAGGCCTTACCTGGAAGGAACGCAGGTGCCCAGCTACTTTGACGTAAGTTCCTGGAGGTACCACGACATTCTCACCTCCTGCCTCCTAACAGAGAGGGAAAGGAGAGAGGTTTGCTGATTCACATTTCCATTTCTCAAACATCACAATAAATGACTCAGCAAAGGAGGCTCATCTCAAGCAAGCACAAACAACGTGCATTCCTACGCCCAGCAAGAACAGTTAGATAAACATAATTGTAAATTAAAAGTAAAAACATTTGCACATTGGAGAGCAGTCAGAGCCAGTTGTCTGCTCTGCTATTTCTGTCCGCTTATGAGAGATTCTCAGAGCAACAAGAGGAAAAGACTCTTGAATAGTAAAAAAGCAGGTGTTCAGTTCCATAACCTGGCTGGGGAATGGGGCAGGCCAGAGCCATTTCTGAACTCAGAATAAACCTGCAGAAACGAAACGAATGTCTGCCTGATAACCGTCCCAAAGCTATTCAACTGAACTCAGCTGTAAACAACAGCTGAGGGGACAGTCAGTGACCTCTGTTACAGCAGCATCTCCCTCGGATTTCAGGGACATATTATTCCTAAAACACTTCTCAGGAAAACGACATCTTTTTGATAAAAACCCTCTGTGAGATGCAGGCAGTTGGTCTTGTTGATCCTTACAGGTCCCTTCCAGTTGAGACACTGTACTATTTCATAACTTGTCTCTCCCCACCGCTCTCAAAGGCTGTCAAAGAAGCGTGTTCGGAGCGAATCCGATGCTTACATCGGTGTCAACCCACTGCCTGACGTCCATCGGCGCTGCCGTCATGTCGTCCACTTTGTAGAGGATGTTGGTGGGCGCCTTCTCCGCGTGCCGGACGATGCCCACCACGGTGACCTGCGGGGAGCGGGAGGGTTGGCCGGGCCCCCGCGGCACTCGGGGCCGCCCCGCCCGCAGCCGCCCTGGAGCCCACCTGCGAGATCTCCACGTCGCAGATCCGGAACGCCTCGTCGACCTGCTCCGCCGCCAGCAGCTGCGACACCGTGCAGGGCACGATGTTCTGAGAGCGGCTCCGCTGCGAGGGGCGGCGGAACGTCAGGGCCGGCCCGGGACCGACAGGACGGGCCTCGGCCCCGTCAGGACCGGCCCCAGCCCCGGCCGCCCCCTGCCCGGCCTACCTGCTTCTTCTCCGCCTGGGCGCCGGCGGGCGACCCGAACCCCCCCGGGGACTGCAGGTATCCGCCCGGGGGCCCCGCGCCGCCCACGGTGCCGAACCCGCCGTCCAAGTTCCCTACGGGGGAAAGGCAGAGGCCGTGAGGCGGTGGCGCGGTCCCCGTGCCCACCGCTGCCGCCATCGCGGCCTCGAGCGCCCCGTCCCCGATGCCCCCGGGCGCTGCCCCGTGTCCCCTGTCCCCGTCCCGTCCCGTCCCCACCGTGCCCGCTCCACATCGCTCCGCCACAATCGGCCGCCACCGGTCCGCGCGCGCCGACCCTCCGCGCGCCGCCCACGCCCGCCCAATCCGGGAGCGCCGCTCTGCCCGCCGCGGCCAATCGCGGCCCTCCGTCTTCCGGCTCCGTCCAATAGAGGGAGGCCGCGGAGAAGCCGCCGGCGCCATTTTGAGGGCAGGCGCTGCCCGGCCCCGCCGCAGGGAGGGGGCGGGGCAGAAGGGGCGGGCCCGAGGGCGGGGCAGAAGGGGCGGGGCCAGGGCACAGGTGATAATGCGACACGGCGGGGCGGGGCGGAGCCTAAGGGAGGGTGACATCGCTAAAGGGAGGGTGATATCGCTAAAGGGGGGGTTGCATCGCTAAAGGGAGGGTGGCATCGCTAAAGGGAGGGTTGCATCGCTAAAGGGAGGGTTGCATCGCTAAAGGGAGGGTTGCATCGCTAAAGGGAGGGTGGCATCGCTAAAGGGAGGATTGCATCGCTAAAGGGAGGGTTGCAGCGCCCCACGGCGTCCAGCGGAGCCCAGGTGCCCCCATGCAGCCCCTGGCCCGGTCCGTGGCTCTGCTGCTGCTGTGCCCGCTGGCCGCGGCCCTGCCCGGTGCTCGCGGCGGCCGCGGGCGGTTCTGGCACCTCACGGACCTGCACTGGGACCCCGGGTACGAGGCGGCGGCGGCGGCGGGGCGGCCGTGCCCGTCGGGCAGCGGGAGGGCCGGGCCTGCGGGGCCCTGGGGCAGCCACCTGTGCGACGCGCCCTGGGCGCTGCTCCGCTCGGCAGCCCGGACCATGCGGGACATCCTGCACACCCCCGACTTCGTGCTCTGGACCGGGTGAGGAGCGGCCGGGCCGGGAGGGACACAGGAGGACAGCGGAGCCCATATGGGGGGGTCAGTGCTCTTTCCGCTTCGGACGGGGGAGGGGGGAATGTGCCTCGTAATGAAGAACGAGGGCTTGGGGGAGAGCACAACCCCGGCGAGGACTCCCAACGCCTGCAGGAAGTTCTGAAGCACCGGGGCAGTGCTGCCGTGAGGGCATGGAAGGATCCGAACTCACTGTCCATCCTGTCCAGCCCTGCCTGACTCCGCAGTGACTCCCAGCGGCCTGGAATGCCCAGGGAAGGGGCTATGGGCTGTGTGTTGGTGCACCAGGTCCTGCCGGTCAGAGCAGTGGGAGGACAGCGTTGCAAACCAGGCTTGTGGCATTTCTTCTGGCTGTAGATGAGGCACCTAGGAGACCTGTCTCAAAAAGGGGCTGTTTTGCTTTCGGAGTAGGGGTTCTCTGCTGTTGTGGTCCCCAGAAGTGGGTTCCTGGTCCCTCAAGTGCCCTTACTGCCTCAGTAGCACTTACAGTAAAGCTGTATTTTGCATGGTGATTGACTGTGTGTGTGGCCTTTCTTCTGACAGTGCAACCTTAACCTGCTATCTGCTGTACTTCCAGTCCCAGGAGGCTGTTGCCTGACCGCATGTTTTCATTTTTGGTCCCTGGAGATGCACGTTACTCCTTGTGACCTTATGCTGAGCATTCTTTTTCCTCAGATAATTTCTCCCAGTTTCTCTCACGTGATTTTGAATGTTGATCTCCCTCTTCAGTGGGCTGCTGGCCAGCCCAGCATTATCTACAAATGCCGTGAGTGTGTCAGTGCAAACACAGATGTGTGTGTCTGGGGCACTTTGGAGCAGCCCTGCCTTACTGGAGGTATTCCCTTGTTTCAGGGTGATCACAGCTGTGCAAACAGCTCTGCTTCACTATTGCTGATCAGATGGTGCCCTCAGATTGCAAAGTGCTGATCCTGGCAATATTTCCAGGCAGCTTTAGTGCCTGTGACATGCCCTGAGGCAGAAAGAGCCTCCCCTTTACACCCTAGTGTTCAGGGGTTTTAAGGTAAAGTGAATCACAGAGTATCCTGAGCTGGAGAGGACCCACAAGGATCATCAAATTCCCACTCCTGGCCCTGCACAGGACACTCCAACAATCCCACCATGTGCCTGAGAGTGGTGCCCTTGGGCTCTGGCAGGTTTCCAGTGGAGTTTGTTTTCTCTCTCAGCGATTCCTTGAAACTCCCTCAGTACCCTGACCAGTCAACATAGCACTGAATTCTGCCCCCAAAAGCTTCAACTGTCTCTTTGAGGAGGCACAGACAGAAGCCAGCAAGTTTCTGTGCCTTGCTCATTGCTGTGAGCACAGGTCCTATGAGTCCCAGACAGTGACCAAGCTGCTTTTTTTTTTTTTTTTTTTTTAAGAGATGACACTCCCCATGTCCCCAATGAGCAGCTCGGAGAAGAAAAGGTTCTGCACATAATAGCAAATCTGACTTCTCTGATAAAAGAGACATTTCCAGGTAGGATTTGAGGGGATGAGAAGGGGAGAGGGGCACAGAGACTCATGGGAAGGGCTTACCAGGGTGGAGAATTACAGAGTTGGGACAGGGAAAGGCACAGAAGGGCTGTGGTCCCTGGGGCTTGTTTGCTCTCTTCCCAGTGGCCTCAGTTCTGATGTGTATCATGCACGTTCATGTTCCAGCTTAGCTCGCTCAGGAGGGAGGAAAATAAAGGTTTCTGTTATTAGTCATTAAGGGAGAAAAAGCTGCAAGATTCCCTCTAACAGAACCCCTGTCAGCAGGAGAGAGGGGTGTTACTGCTGTGACAGCTCAGGATTCGGCTGGGGGGGCTCATCCCCAGGGGGGTCAGTGCTGAGTGGTCAGTGCAGCCTCAGGGCAGGGGGTGGGTGACTGGCCCTGGCAAAGCCTTGGCCTTGAGTGCCCTGGGGAGCTTGGGGGGCTCTGCAGCCCTGACTCCTCTGCTCTGTCTCCAGGTACCAAAGTCTACGCGGCGATGGGCAATCACGACTTCCACCCCAAGAATCAGTTTCCCGGGAAGCAGCACAGGATCTACAACCAAACAGCGGAACTGTGGCGGCCCTGGCTGAGTGACGCCTCCCTTCCTCTCTTCAGAGCAGGTCTGGCACCACTGGCTCGTGTTGGCAGCACTCTGGGGAGATGGGGAAGGGTGGGAGAATACTATGACCAGTTTTCCATGCCTCAGAGCATCAGTGTTCATAGAGGACTTGAAGAGGAAGGGTCAAATTTAACGCTGATTTCTGGCATGGAGTTCTCCTGCTTGCAAGAAGATAAATTTTGTTATATTTTAGTCTCCCCTGTCATTGTCAAGTTACTGGAAAGAATGCAGAGTGGTGAGCTGCAGGGAGGAAAAAGACCTTTAAAGGTACAGGCTGGGGCAGGCAGTGCTGTGGCTCTTCAGAGCTGCCCACTCCTGGTGCTGCCCACTCCTGGTGCTGCCCACTCCTGGTGCTGCCCACTGTCCCCATGCAGGTCTCCCTTCAATGGGACAGGCACAAGCATGACAAGAGGCACACAGGGAAGAGTCACTCCAGACACCCATCCTGGAGTGGGCAGAGCGCTGCTGGTGCCTGGTCCAGGCAGTGACCCTGCTGTGGCTGTTGCTAAGGAGAGCAGAGAGAGGTGGAAACAAAGGGATCTGGGATCACAGCCACCGGTGTGACCAGACCTCCAGCTCTTTCCCTGTCATCTTTTTCAGGAGCTTTTTACAGTGAGAAGCTGCCCAGCCCAGGGACAAGGGGGAGGATTGTTGTCCTCAATACCAACCTGTACTATGACCAGAATGACGAGACGGCTGCTGAGGAGGATCCTGGGGGTCAGTTCCAGTGGCTGGAAGAAACACTGACCAACGCCTCTAGAGCAAATGAAATGGTATTAACAAAGAAATGGATAAGCCACCCTTGTAGAGGGCTCCTCCCAGCCCTGCTCTCCCCAGGGCAGCCACAGCCACGGGGCTCTGTGGGCAGCACGGGCTCTGTGCTCAGGGCAGCTCTTGCTTCTCCAGGTCTACATTGTGGGCCACATCCCTCCCGGCTTCTTCGAGAAGAAACGAGGCAGGGCCTGGTTCCGGAGGGGCTTTAACGAGCGGTACCTGAGCATTGTGCAGGAGCACCACAGGGTGATCGCCGCCCAGTTCTTTGGGCACCACCACACCGACAGCTTCCGCATGTTCTACAGCCACACAGGTACCGGCTCTGCTCGCCCAGGCACCTGTGTGACAGCTCTGCCAGGCTCTGCCAGCTCCCAGAATCACTGCCCATGGGAGGTTTTGGTGGCTGTTGGCTGAAAGCAGCTGAAAAGCCAGCAAAGGCTTGTGAAATGCTCTAGGCAACAAGAGGGAACAGTGGTTCTCATCTCCACCCCCAGCCTGTAGCTCCTGACCTCCTTCCCGTTCATCCTCAGTGATTGGCAACTTCTTGCCTGTTCCCTGTGAAGGGGTTTGGGCACTGTTGGGGTGTGAGGGAGCAGTGTCAGATCTCTGTGTTGGGGTGGTGCAGAGTGCTCTGGGCACAGGTGGTGGTCCCCTGGCCACCCTCACTGCAGGAGCCCCTTGTTCAGACCCTGATGTTGCTCCTTGTGCTGATGTTTGTGTTGCACCAGGGGCTGGTGACATAGATGCTCCTGGGCAGGGCCATCAGCTCCAGGTGCTCACTGCGATGGGAACAGGGTATGGAGCAAGCCAAGGTCTTCACTCACAGATTGCTTTGCCTTTCTGTGAAGGTTCTCCAATCAATGTCATGTTCCTGGCCCCTGGAGTGACTCCCTGGAAGACAACATTACCTGGAGTGCACAATGGAGCCAACAACCCCGGGATTCGGGTGGTGGACTATGATCGGGACACCCTCCAGGTGTTGGTAGGGGAGCCCTGTGTGCTGCACACTGCAGCTCTGGAAGAGAACTTTAATTTCTGCCTGTGCTCAGAACAGCCAGGGCCACAAGAGCCGAGCAGCTGTGTGGGAGGGGACCCTGGCTCAGAATATATCAGCCTTGTGTCTGGCACAGATATTTAGTCAGAGTGTCAGTGAGTTGAGGCCCAGGCCCCCACAGCCAGTGCATCCTGCTGGGATGAGTTCCTCAGAGCAGGGGCAGACAGGTTTTGCCGTGTTCTTCATGTCCTGAGTGAGATTCCTTTGACACTTGCTTTGCTCCCAGATAATGTTGATCACAGAACTCCTCTTTGAGTACTAACAG